TTGGGGGAAAATTTGGGATGTTTGGGGAAAATTTGGGGATAATTTGGGGATATTTGGGGTGAATCTGGGGATATTTGACAATTTTGGGGGAAATTTAGGGAAATTTAGGGATAATTTGGGGTGAATTTGGGTGAATTTGGGATATTTGGGGAAAAATTGGTATATTTTGGGGAAACTTGGGGATAATTTGGGATATTTGGGGTGAATTTGGGGATATTTGGGTGAAAATTGGGGGTAATTGGGGGAAATTGTGGATGTTTGGGGGAAATTTGGGGATACTTCAGGTGAATTTGGGGATATTTAGGGAAAATTTGGGGATATTTTGGGTGAATTTTGGGTGAATTTGGGATATTTGGGGAAAAATTGGTTCTATTTGGGGGAAATTTGGGGATATTTGGGGGAAATTTGGGGATATTTGGGGAAATTTGAGGAAAATTTGGGATATTGGGGAGAATTTGGGGATATTTGGGTGAAATTTGGGGATATTTTGAGTGAAATTTGGGGATATTTTGGGGGAACTTGGGATTTTTTGGGGGGAAATTTGGGGATATTTGGGGTAAAATTGTGGATGTTTGGGGAAAATTTGGGGAAATTGGGATATATTCAGGAATTTGGGATATTTGGGGTGAAAGTTGGGGATATTTTGTGGAAAATTTGTGTTTATTTGGAATATTTGGGGAAAAATTGGTTCTATTTGGGGGAAATTTGGGGGAAATTTGGGGTGAATTTGGGTGAATTTGGGATATTTGGGGAAAAATTGTGTATATTTGGGGGAAATCAGGAAATTTGGGGATAATGAAGGATATTTTGGTTGAATCTGGGGATATTTGGGGTGAATCTGGGGAAATTTGGGTGAATTTTGGGTGAAATTTGGGTGAGTTTGGGGATATTTTGGGAGAAATCTGAAGATATTTTGGGGGAAATTTGTGTTAATTTTGGATACTGGGGAGAATTTGGGGATATTTGAGTGAAATTTGGGGGTATTTGGGGGAAAATTGGTTCTATTTGGGGGAAATTTGGGGATAATCTGTGGATATTTGGGGGATATTTTGGGTGAATTTTGGGGGAAATTTGGGGTGAAATTTGGGATATTTGGGTGAATTTGGGATATTTGGGGAAAAATTGTGTATATTTGGGGGAAATCAGGAAATTTGGGGATAATGAAGGATATTTTGGTTGAATCTGGGGAAATTTGGGTGAATTTGGGGATATTTGGGGAGAAATCTGAAGATATTTTGGGGGAAATTTGTATTAATTTGGGATATTTTGGGAAAAATTGGGTATTTGGGGGGAAAATTGGGGATAGTTTGGTTGAATTTGGGATATTCTGGGGGAAATTTGTGTTAATTTGGGATATTTGGGGAAAAATTGGGTATTTTGGGGGAAATTTGGGGTGAATTTGGATGAATTCGGGATATTTGGGGAACAATTGTGTATATTTGGGGGAAATCAGGAAATTTGGGGATAATGAAGGATATTTTGGTTGAATTTGGGGAAATTTGGGGTGAATCTGGGGAAATTTGGGTGAATTTTGGGGGAAATTTGAGTGAATCTGGGGATATTTTGGTTGAATCTGGGGATTTTTGGGGTGAATCTGGGGAATTTTGGGGTGGACTTGGTGGAAATTTGGGGAAAAATCCTGTATATTTTGGGTGAAACTCGGGGATATTTGGTGAACTTCGGGGCCACTTTGGGGGGAAAATCCCCCCTTTGCCTGCGCTTCTCCTCCCCTTAGCGTGTCCTTAGCGTGTCCTTAGCGTGTCCTTAGCGTGTTCCCTTCCTCCCTCCAGGCATGAGCACGGTTTCCGAGGCGGTGGCGGCCCGCCATTGCGGTTTGAGACTCCTTGGCCTTTCCCTCATCACCAACACGGCTCCTGGCACGGCTGAGGACGGTTCTGGTGACACGGATGAAGGTCCAAAAGGTCACCAAGAAGTTCTGGAAGCTGCTCAAGCCGGAGCCCGGCACCTCCGCTCCCTTCTGAAAGCTTTAGCGCCGCGTTTGGCTACCGAACACGCTTAGAACACGCTTAGCACACGCTAAGGACACGCGTGGCGTGAAGGAAAAGGTCGCGGGATCGTGCGTGGAAGAGCCGCTGGCGTGGAAGGCAGCTGGGATTCGTGGCGGCTTCTCGGCGTGTTCTTGACATGTTCTTGGCGTGTTCTTGGCGTGTTCTTAGCGTGTCGGCCCCTGTGGTGGAATAGCACTGTGCCCTTGCGTCTGTCATGTGTTTGTCACGTGTTCATCACGTGTTTATCGTGTGTTCATCCCTTGTCCATCCTTTGTCCGTCCCGTGTCGATCCCGTGTCCGTCCTGTGTTGATCCCATGTAGATCCCGTGCCCATCCCGTGTAGATCCCATGTCCATCCTGTGTCCGTCCCGTGTCGATCCCATGTAGATCCCGTGTCGATCCTGTGCCCATCCCGTGTAGATCCCATGTCCATCCTGTGTCCATCCCATGTTGATCCCATGTCCATCCCGTGTCGATCCCATGTAGATCCCGTGCCCATCCCGGGTTGATCCCATGTCCATCCTGTGTCCGTCCCATGTCGATCCCGTGTCCATCCTGTGTTGATCCCATGTAGATCCCGTGTAGATCCTGTGCCCATCTCGTGTTGATCCCATGTTGCTTTGCTGCTCTACTTGTGTCCATCCCACGTTCATCCCATGTTGATCCCGTGTTGCTTTGCTGCTCTACCCGTGTCCATCCCATGTAGATCGTGTGTAAATCCCATGACAATCCCGTGTTGATCCCATGTTGCTTTGCTGCTCTACCCGTGTCCATCCCATGTTGATCCCGTGTCCATCCTGTGTTGAGCCCACATCCATCCCATGTCCATCTCATGTTAATCCCATGTTGCTTCCATGTTCCTCCCATGTCCATCCCATGTCCATCCTATGTAGAGCCCATGTCAACCCCGTGTTGATCCCATGTTGCTTTGCTGCTCTACCTGTGTCCATCCCATGTAGATCCCGTGTTAATCTCATGTTGATTCCCTGCTGTCCTCATCTCCATCCCATGTTAATCCCGTGTTGATCCCATGTTGATTCACTGCTGTAATCATTTCTGTCCCATGTAGATCCCATGTTAATCCCGTGTTGATTCGCTGCTGAACTCATTCCTGTCCCGTGTCCATCCCGTGTTCATCCCATGTTAATTCCATGTTGGATTCACTGCTGTACTCGCCTCCATCCCGTGTTCATCTCATGTTAATCCCGTGTCCATCCCATGTTAAATCCATGTTAACCCCACGTTGGTCTCATGTGGATTCACTGCTGTATTCATTTCCATCCCGTGTTCATCCCGTGTTCATCCCATGTTCATCCCATGTCCATCCCGTGTTGATCCACTGCTGTACTCATCTCCGTCCCATGTTCATCCCATGTTCATCCCATGTTCATCCCATGTCCATCCCATGTTCATCCCATGTTGATCCACTGCTGTACTCATCTCCGTCCCATGTTCATCCCATGTTCATCCCGTGTTCATCCCATGTCCATCCCGTGTTGATCCACTGCTGTACTCATCTCCGTCCCGTGTTAATCCAATGTTCATCCCATGTTCATCCCATGTCCATCCCATGTTGATCCACTGCTGTACTCATCTCCGTCCCATGTTAATCCCATGTCCATCCCGTGTGGTCACATGACCACCCCATGTCCAAGCCATGTTAGCTGCCTGCTGGTCACGTGACCACCCCACGTGCATCCCGTGTTCCTTGCACGCTGCTCACATGTGTTGCATTGACAAGTCAGCACTTCATCCCATGTTAATCCCGTGTCAATCCCATGTTAATCCCATGTTGATTCACCAACGTGCCAGTTTTCATCCCGTGTTAATCCCATGTTAACCCTGTGCCCATCCCATGTTCTTCCCATGTTCGTGCCGTGTTAATCCCGTGTTGATTCACCACCGTGCCTGTTTTCATCCCATGATGATCCCATGTTAATCCCATGTTGATTCACCATCGTGCCTGTCCCCATCCCATGTTAATCCCATGATGATCCCATGTTGATTCACCACCGTGCCTGTTTTCATCCCATGTTAATTCCATGTTGATCCCATGTTAATCCCATGTTAACCCCATGTTGATCCCATGTTAATCCCATGTTGATTCACCACTGTGCCTGTTTTCATCCCATGTCAATCCCATGTTAATCCCATGTTGATTTACCACCCATCCCATGATGATCCCATGTTAATCCCATGTGGACTCACCACCGTGCCTGTTTTCATCCCATGTTAATCCCATGTTGATCCCATGTCAATCCCATGTTAATCCCATGTGGATTCACCACCGTGCCTGTCCCCACCCCATGTTAATTCCATGTTGATCCCATGTTAATCCCATGTTGATTCACCATTGTGCCTGTCTCCATCCCGTGTTAATCCCGTGTTGGCTGCCTGGCGCTCACATGACCTTCCCATGTTCATCTCATGTTCACAGCTTTTGGTCACGCGTGTCAACTCATGGACGTGTCGGTTCCATGTCAGCACTTCATCACGTGTTATTCATGCATCCATCCCATGTTCATCCCATGTAGAACCCATGTTGATCCCATGTTGGTCCCATGTTGGTCCCATGTTGACCCCATGGTCATCCCATGACCATTGCATGACCATTCCATGTAGATCCCATGTCGACCCCATGTCAATCCCATGTTAATCCCATGTCCTCTCCGTGTTAATCTCATTTCAATCCCATGTTAATCTTATGTTAATCCCATATTGACCCCGTGATGATCCCATGTCCATCCCATGTTGGTCCCATGTTGGCCCTGAGCCCATCCCATGTTAATCCCGTGTGCATTCCATGTTAATCCCATGTAAATCC